TCACAACACTCGGCCCAGACCTCATTTCAAAGGCCTCCAAGTTTCAGACTGATGCGACAAAGCATGGGACCGTGGGAGCGACGCAACGATGTGCCTGCACTCGGCAGTAACGGACGTGCCGGCCCGTCGGGTCCATGCGCCGTGCAGGTAGGCAAGCCAACTCACCTGGTGCCAGGTTGATTAAAAGCCATTTGGAAGCCTGATTTTGGCTGGTTAGCCACTGTGGCATGTTGGGAGACATGCCCTGCCCACAGTGCTGAAGCGTGGTGACGCGCGAGCCATAATCAGGCTTCCAAATGGCTTTTAATCCATCTGGCGCCAGGTGAGTTGGCTTGCCTACCTGCACGGCGCATGGACCCGACGGGCCAGCGCGTCCGTTGCCGCCGAGTGCAGGCACATCGTTGCGTCGCTCCCACGGTCCCATGCTTTGTCGTATCAGTCTGAAACTTGGAGGCCTTTGAAATGAGGTCTGGGCCGAGTGTTGTGACGTTGATTGGGAATGCTACCCCCACTCAGTGGGTCGCTGGAAGGGAGTGAAGTGAGGGGTGGTTTTTACAGGGAATGACGCTTTTTTCGCTCTGGAAGACGAACGGTTGGTGGGATCGTCTTGAAAACTTCAGGATCGCTTCCCCCATGTCTTGTTCGACCAGCCCGCTCGTCGGATGGCTTCCAACCCCTCCAGAGGCGTGCAGGGGTGCAAGGGGGTGAACACCCCTACCGCAGGGGTTGCAGTCGTCCGGCAGCGCGTTTCTTCGCTGAGACGTCTTCTTGGACACTGGAGGAATGCCCCCTGGAGTTTTGTTGCGTTTTGCTCAAACCGAAAGGCCCCGGACGGCCGGTGTTCGAAAGGGGGTGGGGCTTTCCGGGGGATGATTCACCCGGGGGTGGTTGGAACGTCGAAAAAACATGGTTGCTTGGTACAGGGGACGCCCCGACGCTGTTTTGCGCGAAATTCAAACATGCTCGAAATCCACCCCCTCGAGGGGGTGGGGGTGAGTGCAGCGGGGGGTGGGTTGGTTCAAATTGAATTCCGCTTGCATCGTTGGAAAGAGGAGACTCATTTGACCTCGTACACGAAAACTTTGGCCTCTGCGATAAGGTAAAGTTGGTTTTTACGGCACGTTTTCATCGTTTTTTTCACCCTCGCGCACTTAGGGGTGGGTGCCGTCCGTTAGGGGAGGCGCACGGGCTACGCACTTCGCAGGCCTCGAGGGAAGTAGAAGGGGCACCCGTGTACAAAATTTCAGCTTCCTAGCTCGAAAGACTTAGAAAATATTACGATGACAAAAAGCGTTCCGCTAATTTTTGTCGGGAGTGTAGAAAGTCATTACACAAAAATTGAAAGTTTGTTTTATATGAATTTTCATAAGCAGGAAACAAAGAAAAAACAAGAAACAGAGCATAATCAATACAGGTTTCAAATGCTACAGTTGGTTAAACTGTTAACAGGTTGCAAACCTACTGCGCATGTCCAAAAACACTCCAATCAAGAAGTATTATTGGATAGTTCTACCCGAAAAACTGCGTTCGAACCGACACCAATTCTATTGTTGCATCTTGTCTACCTGCAGTCAAAGAAATTTTTCATTTCGAACGTGCTGATTTCAGCTTTTGGAGTAAGCTGTACAGACCCAAAAAGAAGCTCGGCTATTGGTCCGCCCCGGCTCGGCTCCCCCCACTCCCTTTTTTTTCCTTTGACGAGTCGAGTTTTGCCATGGAAACGGCGATTTTGACAGCAAATTTCTCAAAATTGGCCACCAACTTTTTAACCAGATTTCAGCATGAGAATCAGCGTTCAAAGTTCTACAAGTCTGCAAAGTCTCATTGAAATCGTATAGAAAATTTCCGAAATGCATAAAGGGCCACACAAATTGAATCTCGGGCCGGCTGAATCCTGGGTATACTATAAGGCTACTTCGTGCCTAAAAAATCATTTCCTTACGACAATATCGTAATCACGATTACATATTTTGACACCTGAAATCCCCGAAAAGGAGGTGAAAAGTTACAATTTTGCTCACTTATTTACGATTTGTGTCGTTCATTTACGATTTACAACACAAATTTACGACAAGAGTCGTAAATGTACGACTGAAGTCATAACTGCACGACATATTCCAAAGATAATTTACGATTGTTCGTAAACTTACGATTAAGTCGTAAATTCACGACTTAATTCGTTATAAACGAAACGTGTCGCTATCAAAAGTAGCGACAAATATGTCGTACATTTACGACTCAAGAAGTATTCACGACTTGAGTCGTAACAAAATATGTTGCTTAAAAACGACATAATTGTTCTACAAAATGTCGTTAATTTACGATTATTTTTAACAGTGTGCACGCATCGCCGCAGCCATGGCCCGCAAAACCAAATCCGTTTCCACCCCCTGGACGGTGCGACTGAACGATCGATCCTGGGTCATTCTACAGAAATGTTACAATTTGATGTCCCTGGCCCATTGTGACGAAATGGTTCGTGGTTTGCGCAGTGAGATGGTGCTTTTTGTGCTTTCAAATGATCCACTATTAGGTTTGAAAATTTCTGAGGTTTTGAGATGGCTGTGACCTCCGGAAAGTGCAAAATGTAAACTCAGTAGCTGTCCCGATGCATAGTTCACAAAGTTTGCGCCTCCCGTATGTCTCAACGAGACACAGGACATTCGTTCCCGACGGCTCTATTTGCTGAGGCACTTTCACAAACACCAAATTTTGGGAAAGGACTGATCTTCCTTGTGCCAACAGTAGGACCACAGACCACACGTTAACGTTCTGGAGATACAGCGAAAATTTTAAAATGAATTTCGATATTGGGTTGCCAACCCTGCCTGCAGGGGTCACATTGCTCGATGCATTGGCGTGGCGTGGCGAAATGTTTGGCGAGGAACAAGCTGTGCATCCCTGGAGAGCTCGGCGCCGCCGCCGTCCGCGGCGCTGTCCATCGGTGCAAGCGGCCGACGACATTACGGGGCCGCGGGACGCAATGTGGCGTCGGGGCGGGACGTGACCCGACTGCCAACGCGTCTGCCGCACAGTAAAATCTCAACGAAGAAACGCTTCGTAATAGGAAGAAATTGAAGGCATTGTAGAATCTACGGAGTAATGCTTCTTATTATGAAGCAAAATCCTTCCTAATAAGAACCTTACAACTATTACAACAGCGTTATACTTCTGCCCAAACAAAGAGAAAAAAATGGCACTTACGTAAAGCGGTAAATATGCCACGCTTGGCGCTCTCCACAGGTTTGCAAGCGTGACTTCGGTCCAAAAAATATTTTTCTGGTAAGAACAGACCTTTCTTATGAACATGTGACAGTTCTAGACGTATGCGCCGACTACATTTTCATCAGCGGAGGCGCACTAATAGAAAAGATGCTGTTAATTAACAGCATATATCCTGTTAAGTTTTTTAGCAACACTTGTTGTAGAAGAACGGCATATTGTTGGACACTGAGTCGTTATCCAACAGCAGTGTTGTAAAAAGGGATGATGGCTCTCTGTATCTGACCTCTGACAATAAGTTGTTGTGTAACAGATTTACCATTTCCAAATGGCACCAACCTGTTCATAAACAACACTTTTCTGTTTTCAAACAAAAGAGTTGTTATACATTTACAAAAAAAAATGTCGAGGGTCCTAATAGTCTTATCCAATACTAGCAGTCATTCAGAAACGCTCTTTTCTGTTTACAAACAGCACTGTTCTTCAACGCGGTCTCTCTGTTATTCACAAAAAGGGAATAGGAGTTTCCTGACGGCTCAAACAAGACATTTGTTTTGTAACAGTTCGTGCAGTTCTTGGACAGTTCACCGCTGTTTAAAAATTGGAAGTGTTGCTAAAAAACTTTACAACACAAATGCTGTTCAGAAACAACAGCATTTATTTTAACATAGTTGGAGTTTGATTTGAGCCGTGAGCTGCAAAATGCTCCGGCAAATCTTCAATTGAATGGTGTTGTTTTTAAATGACAGAATACCGTTCCAAAACAGCATATATCATTAATTTTACAAACAAGATGTTCTGTTTTCCAGCATTGGAAATCGTTCAATAACACTATATTTGTTGTTTTCTACAATGATGAAACTTGCTGTTTCCTAACAGCATTTGTGCTGTTTTAAGTTCCGATGACACGCGCTGCTTAAAAGCAAATCACTCGTTGGTAAATGTGCTGTTTTCCTACAGTTTCTTTTAACAGTGCGTTTGGCTGAAATTTAGCCGGTGGCGGCCGCAGGAGGGGACGGCGTGGTCAACTGAAACTTGGTCTATTTTCTCAATTTAAAAACATAACCTAAAAGAATACACAATTTCATGGACTAATTCTTTAATGTGGACTAGTTGCGTTACGAAGGTGAAAATTAAGCAATTTAAACACTGCAATAAAATTTTGATCTCGCGGCGGAGAACGTGCTCGTCAAGTTGCCTATCCCCAGGCGCTCGCTGCTGATGGAAATGAAGATATGCGACGCCGCACAGTGGTCTGGTAAATTTTTCTTAATCGGTTTCAGTGACCCGTAAAACCTATCCTTCAGCAGTTTCATTTTATTTTGTTTGATCATTACCGGAGTATTAAATTATGTCCGCCTGAATCGTTCTTTTAGACCACTGTGCGCCGCCGGTAAAATCATCGGCGGCAGCGCGGCGGCGCGCCGCAAATTTTTGGTCAGCGGCAGCGGCGTGGTAAAATTTGTTGGCGGCGGCGCAGCGCACATGTCTAGTTTGTGCAACCCCACCGTTGGATTTTCAAAAAGTCATTTATCATCGCCTTTTTCCCGTTTCATCCCACTTTGTGGCGCCGCGTCGCGTTGACACAGTGTAAACACATCCGTGACTTTGTTAAGTCTTATCGCCCGGTCCAAGTCAGATCGGTAGGCCTTGGGAGGAGGCAGCAGCAGGCCTCGGCGGGGTGTCTGGGAACTTGAACAGCCACGACGACGGCGTGCTGGGGCCAAGTGGGCTGCCTACCACACGGGCCTGGGCGAAGGCAGCCCGCGCTGCACGTGTGGGCGTGTTCGTGGGTATCACTCTCTAGGTGTGTAACCAAAGTTATCTGCCGGGGCGCGAGGCAAGAGGGAGCGCTCTCGCCAAGAGAGAGCGTAGCAGTTGACACCCGGTGCTGCGATCACCTGGTCCATCCAACCAAGTCCGTCCAGGCAAACCCCGCTACACCCCGCAGCGCACTGCCCAGCACGGCGATGCCCCAACCCTCCATTGACCACGTCCGCATCAGCCCGCCAAGTGAGTCTCGGAGGAGGCCTTCCCGTGGGGACTTCTCCGAGTGAGAGGATTGTTCGAGCCCCGGCGCCATGCCCATGGCTATGATCTTTCCCGTCACCGACCCAGGGAAGCGGCTCGGCGTGCGCCACCTCCAGGCGTGCCTCATGACCCTCGGGTCCTTCGTGGCGTACGCGCTGCGCGCCAACCTCAGCGTCGCCGTGGTCGCCATGGTGCGGACTAGGCCGCGCATTGAGCCAACCCTCGTCACGGTCCCCCTCAACGAGACCAGCCTCCTGAACGGCAGCGTCGTCGGCCTGGCTGGCGAAGGTATGGTCGGTGACGTGGAGACCGACGACATGGTAAGCAGACACGGTGCAACGCGAAGTGGAGGCTGCAACTTGTCCGAGTTCCCGGGCAGGGACAACACACGAGATCGATTGCTAACTTCGAGATCGAGTCCCTGAGGCTGAAATCGGCAAGTTGCGGCTTCATTCTGGGAAGGAGGGTTGCAAACAGTGGCGGGGAACTGAAAGCTCGTCGGCTGCCGGCAGATGTTCGACTGGGACGAGAAGGTTCGCGGCGCGCTGCTGAGCGCCTTCTTCTGGGGCTACATGGTCAGCCAAGTGCCGGGCGGCGTCCTGTCGCAGCAGCTCGGCGGGTCGCGCCTCCTGGCCGGCGCCCTCGTCGCCACCTCGCTGTGCACGCTGCTGCTGCCGGTGTGCGCGCTGCAGGGCGGCTGGGAGGCTGTGTTCGCCAACCGCGTGCTGCAGGGCTTCACGCAGGTCTCTCCGTCTTGCCACCGCCCTCTGGACCCGATTCACCCGAGATAACACACTCTGCTTCGTCGCAGGGCCCCGTCTACCCGTCCGTGTACACCCTGCTCGGCGTCTGGGTGCCTCCGCACGAGAGGGAGATCTTCACGACGGCCGTTCTCGGAAGTGCGAACTGCAAACCGCGCCAGGAACAAAGATGGGCTGCACGGTCTTGACTGTGTCTTTGCCTCGGCAGGCACGCTGCTGGGCCCCATGCTCGCCTCGCCCCTGTGCGGGGTCATCGCGGCGCGCTGGGGCTGGCCCTCCATCTTCTACTCCTTCGGCGCCCTGGGGCTGGCCACCGGTGCCCTGCTGCTGTTCCTGGGCGCGGACAGGCCAGCCAAACACTCCAGGATTTCCGCCGAGGAGCTGGCCTACATCGAGTCGTGCATCGACGACGGCAAGGCGCCCCAGGCAAGCCCTTCCCCCTCCCCCACCAAGCGGCGGCAAGGGCCTGCACCGCAGGATGCACAGTGGGCTGAGATCCGCCAAATCGACATTTAATCCAGCTTTTCAAAGTTATTTTTTTGCATCGGATTTGTGCGAGATGATGTCCCAAAAGGTTCAGTCTTCAATTTAATGAACAAACTAGCCAAAAATATTAGCCACATCACAGTGAGAATGGCTCTCGAAAACTTAGTATTTTAAGGCTTCCGAGGTGCCGCTAGTAGACCATAAAAATGACACATATGTCGAAACGATTTCCGACCAGCCAAGTCGTATTTTAATCCCGGTTTTTAACGTAACCTCTTGTTACGGTATCACACTTAACATGTACACGGAAACTGGACTCAATTTTACCTCGGTGGCATGTGTACACACCTATTTAAGAAACTTGGTAAATCTGCGAATTTTCAGTGTTTTCTTTGTATTGAATTTGAGTTTCAAAACGACTCCTACGTGTCCCGTCGGAGATCTCTTCGCCAAAATGTACCTTGGGCCCTCCTTTACTAGGGCCAACATCGATCAAAGGCTCGTCGAGGCTCCAACGTGAATGCGACGCGTCTAACGCCACCACTTTTAACCTAAATTCTTAGATTCTAACCTTATTTTTGGTCATAATCGACGATTTATGAGTATTTTATCGGTGTCCATGGCATTGGAAGCCTTTTGCTTTCCATCTTCATTGTTTTCATGTAAAATCGGACAGGTTTCAAGAATTTGTTAAAAAAAATAATTTTGAGTCAACACTTAAATTTTTAACTTTTTTGGCTTATTTTGATTTTGAAAGTACTCTGTTAAGTCTGCTCACCTATTTTTGACCAAGGCTCTGTTTTCAAGTGGGAACTAATGGCGTAAAAATACGTTTTTGAACTTTTTTTGACATTTTTGCTAGATGCACTACCCTGCACATTTAAATACGAATGCAGATCGATAAAGCGTCTCAAGACGAATCGATCGGTACCAATATGATAGCGATAGCGCAACCCAGTCGGTCACAATTGAATTAAATGTCAGATTTTGCTCCGCCAGCCCACTGTGGGATGACGCTCTCGTTGTTTTCGAGCAGGTGCAGCCGCGGACGCCCTGGCTGGCCATAGTCTCATCGCCGTGCGTCTGGGTCTTGTGGCTGTCCCTGTCGGTGCAGGCGATGGTCTACTTCACCTTCCTCACCAGCATCCCGACCTACCTCCACGGCGTGCTAGGCTTCAGTCTCGAGGAGGTGAGTAAAGCTGCCCGCACGGTAGGCAACCCTTTCGACGCCTTGTTGGCGATGCACCACCTACAGGGTACGCAAACTATTTGGGCGATTCCATGCCAAACCAACGAACCCTTGGGATTTCATCCCTCCGATTTTGATGAAACTTTTGTTGGGTGTGGGAGACATCATAAAAAGACCCCCTGCCAAAGGGTTTTGCGAAATCTCACCCCATTTGGCTGTGGCAGGATATCAAAGTTTTAGCTTTAGTCAAAATCATGATATTTTCTTTAATTTCCTCTTTTCTGGCTGATTTGTTTTGGATTTTTGTCCATAGTGTATTTTTACGTAAAAAGAGCTGGGGAACACGATGAAAACGGTTTCGAGACAATTGGGTAAAGTTTTGATGCCAAAATCTTCATTTTTCGTCATATTTTTTCGAAAAATTGCTATTGCCAAAAGAGCTCATCTTCGATTTCGACCTAACTTTTACCAAATGATCTCCTAACATAGAGGAACAAAACACTAAAAGGGTTTGGTCGGCCCGCCCATAAGATCTGAGAAATCGCAGAAACAAATTTTGAAAAATCACCAAAATCGTGTATTTAAGGTGGTGGTGGTGGTGTGGGTTCTTGCCTGCGCTGCGCAGCCGGCTGTTCTGGTCAACATCGACTTCCCCGCCTGGCGTGCGAAGGAAAACCACCCGCCAGGAGCGCCTGTGAAGCTCGGATAGGCAACCCGCAGGCCAGAGTGCGCATGTGCGTGCGTTGGGTTGCCTACCTTCCATTACCACTAAGGG